ACGGAGGGACAACTGTAGTTTGAAAATGGCTCTCTTATTTAGATACAAGACAATGTGGGCTGATGAATTGTATCTGGGTAGGCAATACTAGTAAAGCTCATCAGGAGGTAGTCACAAGACTGAAGACCTTTTCAGTGATAATCCCACTACTGTGCAACTGTCTGCCATGAGGAAATTCATATGGTCCTCTAGATTTCAAAGTCCTTTTAAGTTAATCCTTTCAAATTGGTTTAGGTGTTTGATTCTTTAATGACATAAACATTATTGCTGCTTTTATTAGATGACATGCTTTTGTGGGCATTATACTCATGTTGTATGTTATAACATGTTGATTTTGCTATCATTATGTGAAGTAATAGGGCATATAAACATTTAAAATAAACAAAACAAATTCAACAGCTAAATCAAATTTACATATAGTAAAGGATATAGAAATATTTTATGAATGCACAACTGACGCATTACTGAATGGGAAACACCACTTTTGAATAATAAAGAAGGAATAAATGAAAGGAATAATAATTCAGAGATTTGTGGCTCAATCAACACATTTTGACTAAGGGCCTTTGCAAATTGCCAGAAATAGTGCAAATTGAGTCCACTATAAGGGTTAGGGTTACTGCTAGGAAATCATGGGAATTGTTTTTTGTGTTTTTTTTTTCTCCTGAGACATTGAGCCTTCTCTGTCAGAGAGCTCTGGTGCCACAATAAAATACAGTTCCCATGATTCCCTAACCCTAACCTAACCCTTAAAGTGGACTCAATTTGCACTATTTCTAGCAGTCTGCAAAGGCCCTAAGAAATCTTATTGTGTACTGCTTAATCTTGGGTTATCATGCATGACACAAAACAGAGCTTGAAAAGTTGTTTGTTTGTTTGTTTTATAATAGATACAGTTAATGCTGCTAAGTCCAAAAGTAGTTAATTTAATATTGTAGTTGTAATTTTAGAAAATAACACCTATTTCTCACAAGTAACTCAGGTTTAGCAACCCTTTAGTTGTTGTTGTTGCTGTTGCTGTGTGCCTTTATATCATTTTTGATGTATGGCAACCTAAGGCAAACCTAACACTGTTTTCTTGGGAAGATTTGTTCAGAGGGTGTTTGTCTTTGCCTTCCTCTGATACTGATAGGGTGCAACTTGCCCAACACCATCCAGTGGGTTTCCATGGCTGAACAGGGATCTGAACCCTGATCTCCAGTCTCCAATGCTCATTTAAAAATAACAACCAACAAACATGCTTCAAGCTACCCTATGGTGCAAAACATGCCTCCCATCCATCTTACTGTCATTTTAACAACTACAACAGAGCACAGGGCAGCAGCTGAAACCTATGATAGCCCTGTTCCACTGTTTAATGAGGCCACCCTTAGCAATGATAGAATTTGCATGCCATCCTTAGCAACAAAAAAGTTATATTTAGACTGCAAAGAGAGTTACATTGTCTCTTATTAAGTTTCATTTATCATATGACTTAATTTTAGGTTAGCTTTTGAATATATATTCAAAGTGACAGTTTATATGTAAACTATTTCTAGATCCAAATATTTCAGTGTATAAAATAAGCTATAATCCTAAACACCCTGACAGAGTAACCCTAGATGAACATAAATGGAGCATACCTTTCATTAAACTATGTAGGGAACTGACCTATTCAATTATTTTCTGCCTCTTTTACCTTAAAATGTTGATGCTGCATAAAGGTGGCTAATACTGGCCTTGATGTGGAATTGCTCAGGTGTCTGAAGTTTGTTTCACTTCTCCTTGAATGCCATGTTTTTACAACTGGAAGAGTCAGCACTTCAGAGTGCTAATGCTATATATCAGTGTTAAAAATACCTTACTCCAGTCAAGCAAAATTTCTCTCACTGCTGAGCACAGTTTTCAGAGTATTCTAAAATTCTTCATACTTACCTGACATGACCAAACACATACAGAAACTTATACAAACTTACAAGAAGAAATGAGAGAACATTGTTGTCTTCATGATAAAACAGCACTATCATCAGAAAAAAAAACAACAGACATTTTATTTACTCTAATAAACACTGAATTCAGTTTTCACAAGAAAAACATTATTCAGGTTTTCAGACTGCAAACTGAAAAAGTGGACATTATTTTAAACAGTAACTACAATTCAGAGACATAGCCATGTTAGTCTGGAATATCAGTATGCAAAGGGATCCTGTTGCACTATTGAAACTGAGCACAAGATGTAGCATAAGCTTTCGTAGTTCTTTCCACAAACCTGAGGAAGTAGACCAAATCTATGAAAGCTTATGCTACAACTTCTTTTGCTCAGTTAGGGCTTTTACAAACTGCCAGAAATAATGCAGCTTGAGTCCACATTAACTGTCCTGGCTCAGTGCTAGGGAATCATGGGAAGTGTAGCTTTTTCTGAGACATTGAGCCTTCTATGTCAGAGAGCTTTGGTGCCACAATAAACTACAGTTCCCATGATTCCCTAGCATTGAGCCAGGGCAGTTAAAGTTGACTCCAGCTGCATTATTTCTGGCAGTCTCTAAAGGCCCTTAGTCTCAAAGGTGATACAAGATCCCATTAATTATAATTAATGTGGGAGCTGATAAGGAGTAATCAGTACAGGGAGGGAAAGGACTTGAGACAGAATGAGTGGAAGATGCATCACCAGTACAATCTCCCATGGAATGATAAAAATAAATTAATTTCACTACTCTGTGATAAGAGCTGACAACCCTAATGTTAGAATGTGAGGGGAGGATAATAATGGCCAAGATCCTACAGAGTCAAAACATTTGCACTATGGATCTGAGTGCAAGCAGTTTGACACACTGGGGGATGATAAAAGGAGGTATCCCAGTCTCCCTTGTGTAAGAAGAACAGCTGCAATGGGAAATGCCCACAGATTTGCAACATGCACATCACTACCAGTGAAGCAGAGGGCAGCCATCCAGTGTGCACCTCCCACCAGCTGGCTCCCAAGGGTTACTCTCCAGTGGCTGGCAGCTAAGCACATGCTCAACTAATGCAATATGAGAGGGGTGACTTGGAAAATTGCCTCTGCAGGGGATAGCTGGTGGCAATGGCAGCAGAACTATACTGGTAGTGCTTTCTTTTCTGTATGCATTGTTCTGTAAAGGTTGTTTACAACAGTCTGTTGTAACAGATGCAGTTCAGCTTACATGTGTTTTCTTATTTATATCATCCTCTCCTTTCAGACTAGAGTAAACCAATTTAATAGCATTTATGTGTGTTACTAAACATTCCTAAGCATTAGGAAAAACTTCCTAGCAATAATAGCTGTTCAGCAGTGGAATACATTGCTTTGAAGCATAGTGGATTCTCCTTCTTCAGAGGTTTTTAAACAGAGGCTGGATAGCATCTCTTGGGAGTGCTTTGATGGTATATTCCTGCATGACAGGGGGTTGGACTGCATGGCCCTTGTGGTCTCTTCCAACTCTATTATTCTATGAGTTACACATACACATATACAGTTGACTCTTTGTATCCACAAAATCCATGGAACCTCAAGTCCTTTTGTTTCCAATGACAGTGTCATGTGTGTGACTGATGGCACAGCCATTAGGGAGAACAGGACAGGGTCATCGGATCACGGATGGCAAGCCCACAGATGAAGAGAGCCAACTGTATATATACACAAGTAAGAAACATTGATTACAGGTAAATGTAGCATAGGATTATAGATTTATGGGCTCAACAGACTGCCCCAAAGGAGCAGCTCTGTGCTGACCCCTTGCTTGCCTGATCGGGGCCACAGCAACTGGATGCCACGGCTCCGATCCGGTGCTTTGCTGCTCTAAAAAGAGCTGGCAAATGCGGCTCCTTTTTAGAGTGGCAAAAAGCGGTGGTGGTGGCTTTTCAGTGCTCCTTTGGTGCCGCATGTGTGGACCCTGTGCCAAGGGAGCGCCCTGATGCCTCCCGCTGTGCGGTGGAGTATGCAGCATGAAGCCGGCATGAGGGCAGAGTTGGGGTGGCTAGTGTGCAGTCGCCATGCCCCGACTCTGCCCCCAGACCATCTCTTTATGCCAGTCTGCTCAGCCCCTTAGTTCCCTAACAGCATTACTCCCTCCCTGCCGCCCCCTACCCACAATCTACGTGCCTGTAGACTACTCACTGTAACAGCCAATATGCCAATGATCTATCAATTTGGTCTTAAGCACCCTTCAAATATATCCAGTAGACGCAAAATTCTGAACATGAGCATCTGTAGAGACTTAGAAATGAAGTTCTCTCCTTGATGTATTCCCTTTAGTATTCAATACCTATAATATTTTATTAGTATTGGACATGTGATGCATTGCAAAATGGCATCCCAAGAACAACCTTCCAAAAATGGCTACTTCGTTATAACACTAAGAAAGGATTAAACTGCCTTTGAAGCTTCTTTCCTGTGGAATAGGAAAAACTCAGAGAGGTCACCATGCTTTGAGTTTGCAGAAATTGAATTCCTTCTTGGAAATGGACTTTTGCTCTTCAAGCTTATTAATAAGTGTCCTTATTGTGATTTTCTTAAGCTGCAATTACTGCTCAAGAATATAGAAGATATGACACAAAACTATGAATCCTGTAAGATTCCCTAATAACCTAAATATTTACTGTAACTTCTTCCTAAGGCTGTATCCAGACTGCAGAAATAATCCAGGTTGACACCACTTTAACTACCATGGCACTATGCCATGGAATTTTGGGAAATGTAGTTTTGTGAGACATTTAGTCTTCTCTGTCAGAGAGATCTGGTGCCACAACAAACAACAATTCCCATAATTCCACAGCATTGAGACATGGCAGTTAAAGCGGTATCAAACTGCATTATTTCTAGAGTACAGATGCAGCCTATGAGAATGGATATCTAATTTGTTGCTATGTTACTTCAAGTCATTTCCAACTTACAGCAACCCTAAGGCAACCCTATTGGCAAGATTTTTTCAGAGTGGGCTTCCCATTGCCTTCCTCTGAGCTGAGAAAGTATGACTTGCTCAAGGTCATGTATTAAGTTTCTATGGCTGAGCAGAGGTTTGAACCCTGGGCTCCTAGATTCCTAGTCCAATGCTCAAACCATTACACTACATTGGCTCTCAAGAAATATGATAGCCAGTCCTAATGATTTCCACATTATATGTTTTGGTCTTTCTGCCTCATCTGAAATGATTGGAAAGTCTACATTAACTATCTAACACTGCTGTCCATTTATGGTGAGGTGAGAACATACTAATTCCCAGAATCCCTTGTCTTCCTAGCAGTGGTTAGAACTGACAAGACTGATCATCTCAAGAAGAAGGAAGAAAATCCACCTGCCAGATTCTCTCCTCCCCTATGTCCCAGTCTTAAATCAACATTAGAGGACTTGCTGTAGATATTTTAGGTATTTGAGATGGACATAAGGAATGGGGCCTTTTTAGTTATGACACCTTAACTATGAAATACAGTACACTCCCAAGGTTTATCTGGTTTTCAGACTTGTTGCCTTTTGCTATATTGCCAACAACCTAGCTCTATGAGTAGGTATTTGGTTTGTGTAAAATGAAATAGTACTTCTTGACAGCTTTGTATTCTGATTCCATGCCTTTAAACTCCTGCTGTTATCTACACTGTTATGCAATATCAAATTCTTATTATGAATGTTTTATTATTTTATATTGTTAACTATCTTGAGGCGAGTAACTATGTGGGTGTTGGAGCAGGACTCTGGAGCCCAGGGTTCAAATTCCTGCTCAGCCATGACAAACCATGGGTGACTCTCTCCACCTCAAAGAAAGGCAATGGCAATGTCTCTCAGAACAAATCTTCCCAAGAAAAACCCATGGCAGGTTCATTATAGAGTCACCATATGTAGGAGATGGGAGAGTACACAACTCCGCAGGAATATTATAACAAAGAAAGAAACAAAATAAAACAAATCAATACTTTGCTTCAGGGGACAAAAATCTAGTGACAATCAGGTCCAAACAGCCAGTCACACATGCAAATATTCATTTAGAAAGATCTAGAAAAAAATCATTGATATCCAGTAATTAAGTATATTTTTATGGCAATGTACCTAAATATTTAAAACATTTGGTCAATTATTTATGGAAGGCTTCTGAAAACTTAAACAATGACTAAGAATTTAGAATATTCTTCCTGCTCTGTTTTATTTTTCTTTCTCACTGTACCCACACACACAGAGAAGAAAATCACTATGTACTAATACAGCAACTGCAATTTATTATTGCAAAACTATGTGTTCTAAATTATCCTAGTGTGCTTCAAACAGTTATTTAATGAAATCACCACCTATGGAAAAGCAGCATATTGTTCTGTTATAAACCATACATGTTACATTATACACCTTCTTTTTGAGAAGTTATTAATATTTCAAGCTAAAATGCTGTGAATAAATAAGTACAGTGTGAAAAAATAATAATTGGATGTTGTTGTTCTACTTTTATGACATGGCTAAGTATTCTAAATATATCTACTCAAAAATGTCCCATGGAAGTCAATGGGATTAGTCTAGGTAAATGGATGTACAACCACAACCCTAATGGGTGATAAAGGGAAAACAAAACTGAGTTTTGTAGCATTTCCTTATGCCAACAAGAGTGCAACAAGCTGAACTTTTTCTTTTAGCATTATCTTGACAGTTTGTGTGATAGGAGATAAACAGGAAGAAGAACCCAGAGAAATATCTGTAAGGATTTTAAGAAACGTGTATCCACAAAATTATTATTGGATATAACATCACACATGCAAATAACTTCTAGATTTAGAAGTAGAATTAACTTCCCAAACCCTCTTTTTAAAAAAACCACATCTCTAAATGGACTTTTGTAACTTACTGCCAGATGCTAAGAGGCTAGGGAGATTTGTGGCTGTGTTGCTAAATCTGTATTCAGGCTTCCTAAAAATAAGTGAAGTGCCTATTCAGTCAAATTCATACCACTCCACAGCACCCAGATCATGTACTGGCTTTAAAACACAATCAAACTGTGATAATAATACTGGGTGGTGGTGGTGAGGATGATGTTATATATACAGCAGAGAACACTTAACAAACAACAAGCAATATTATGGACACTATCAGCTGGAGTTAAGCCCTATTAACTAACTGATTTCAACAGGCAAAATGTTAAATGGGACTTAGAGGCTTAACTTTACCTGAAATGCACTCATCATTTCCCCTCAGTCCAGGAAAGAAACTTATTCCTTGGCCTTTGAAGATGAGGAGGAGAAATATTATCATTGCTCATGTTAGCCTCCAGCAGTATGGGATAGGGGGGAGTTTGATTTCTTGAAATATTGTTGATTTTTTCAATACTATCCTTTAGTAACATCTACATTACAGATCCTAATTCAAACCTTCCATGTGGAGTAACATCAAGAATAACAAGAATGCATTTCCCAGATAGCTGCCTTGCAGTGATGTGCTCCTTGTTATTTTATAGCCTTGTTATTTTTGCAGGCCAGGATTTCCACCCACATAATGGAAGCCGTATAGGGAAACCCTGTTTCCAAGGCAAGGCATTCATGACCAAAAAGGTGGCTTCCTGCCCTTCCTTTCCCCCACTTTTGGTCTGTGTCATCCTGACTCTCCAAACTGTTTCCAAGTGAGAAAAGGGAGCACTGTTTGTGCAGTGGTTAAATGGCTGCATTGGAGCCATTCACAGCCACAAGGTTGTGAGTTTGATCCCAGGGAGAGCTCCAGGGTCCACTCAGCCATGCATTCTTTCTTAGGCTGGTAAAATTAGTACCCAGCTTGTTGGCGGCAATTGGCTAACACATTGTAAACCGCTTAGGGAGTGTTAGTTCACTGATAAGTGGTATAGAAATGTGCTTCCTATTGCTATTGCCTCTCAAGAAATGTTCATTATTCCTCCCCATCCCCTGTCCACCTGTGGGGCAGAGGAATGGGGCAGGCTTCTGAGTGTGCCTCATTTCCATCCCAGTGCCACATTGCTGCTGCTGCTGCTGCTATTGTTATTGTGTGGTTTCAAGATATTTTCAGCTAAGGCAAACCAACTGCTGCTGCTGTTGTTATTGTGTGGCTTCAAGACATTTTCAACTAAAGGGGGTTGCAGACTGCCAGAAATAGTGCAAATTGAGTCCACTTTTAGGGTTAGGGTTAGTGCTAGGGAATCATGGGAATTGTGGGTTTTTTTTTTTCTGAGACATTGAGCCTTCTCTGTCAGAGAGCTCTGGTGCCACAATAAAATACAGTTCCCATGATTCCCTAACCCTAACCCTCAAAGTGGACTCAATTTGCACTATTTCTGACAGTCTGCAACCCCCCTAAGGCAAACCTATCATGCTGTTTTCTTGGCAAGACTTGTTCTGAGGAGGTTTGCCCCTGCCTTCCCCTGAGGCTGAGAGCATATGACTTGCTCAGTGGGTTTCATGGCCAAACTTCAAATTAAACCCTTGTCTCCAGAGTTGTAGTCCAATGCTGAAACCACTGCACCATGCTGATTCTAAACTAGCTGGTCCTAGTATCTACTACTACTACTACTACTACTACTACTGTTATTACACACACAAATAGATGGTAGGAGGGAGTAAGTTTTCACCAGCAGCTGTTTCCAGTGTTGCTAACCAGAGGTTTCCCTCAGCCTTCACTGCATTTTTAATGACTGATAGGGGTGGAGGGAGAAGAGATGAATAGCAGGCCTTGGGGATATCACACTCTCTCAGACTTAGAGCCTAGCCATGACCAACCCCCTCTGAAGACACTTGCTAAGAAAATCCCATGATAAGTTTGCCTTAGGGTCTTGTGAAGGCATATCACAACAACAAGGGTTAGACTACGGAGTTTATCACATGGGGGACAATTGGAAGTATAAATGGTGATAAACCTGTGATAGTCCCGCAACTGCGCTAATGATTTTCACACCACGTCGTGTTCAAAGTGATATTGTCCTATGAATAACCCGTTATTATATAATAACCCGTTATTATCACACAACTGGTTTTCACGCAGCGTTGAGGGGAGACGCGATTAAAGTGCCATTAACCAGTGAGCAACCAGGCAAGAAACAGCAGCAAACCATTCACAGGCTTTTTGCACAAACGACTTTTTGCTGTGTATTGCCTGGTTATTCACAGCACAATGACTCTTGTGTTAATCTCATTCTAATCCCGTTTGAATGTCAACTAGCACAATTTTCTCAGATTAATAATCACTGTTTAAAGTCCCAATTCCCCCCCCCCC